CAGCCTGAGGCAGCATTTATCAGCTTTTCAGACACAGCCATTCTGTTAATTCATTACTCTGGAAATAGAAAATGAAGTTGAGTGCACTGAATTGTGGTATACAGTACTATTGTAGTATAAAGTACTCAGACTATTTCTGTAAAACCTATAGACTATTTTCTGAAAAATACAGTAAAAACAGTAATATTGTTAAATATTACTATAATAAAAATTAAAAAGGTAATTGTGACTTATTTCACAATTCTGACTTATTTCACAATTCTGAAGTTTATAGCTCACAGTTGCAAGTTATAAACTCAGAACTGAGTCAGAACTGAGAGACAAAGATGTAAACTCAGAACTGTAGGAAAAAGTCAGAATTTTGAAATAAAAAGTCACAGTTACCTTTTTAATTTTTATTTAACAAATAGCAGGTTCAAAATAATTTATATGAAACAAATTTTAGTAGCAATGTAAAAGTATTTACTGTCACACAATTTAATGCATCCTTACTGAAATTACTATTAATTTCATAAAAAAATAAAATAAAATCACGACCCCAAACTTTTAATGGTAGTTTTATCTCGTCAAAAATCTGACCTAAACTTTCATCATTTAAACGTGCAACACAATACTTTTAAGTAGTGGAATAGTAGAAATAATGTTTCTCTGAGAAACAGAGTTGCCGCAGTCAGGTCGCAGTGTTGTTGAAAAACGTTTTGTAATCAAACTCTAGTATTGAGAAGTGCCATCGGTTTACCATTCAGTTGCCAGAAAGTAAAACTGGCAGTGATCCATAAAGCTTCCTGCACAGATGATAATAATTAAAACTGTATAAAAAATTAACAGCACACTCAGGATATACTGTTTCCACTTGGATTCCTGCAGTCCGCTTTGTGGCACCTGTTCTTCATGCTTCAATCACTTGTTTCTTTTCTTTTCTCTTTGTGTTTCAGCAGACCTCTATAAATATTCCACCCACTCTCCCATGGCCCATGCAGCCCTGATCTTTCCTGAGGGAGAGGAAATGTAGGCTGATTCAGGGACCCAATCTTTCTCCTGGGAGAGAGGAGAGCCCAGCATTGGAGGTCGGGAAGGATATGGCTTGTTTACAGTGGAGATCCCTGGAGGTTTGCACTGTACAGTTCAGTGTGGACAAAACATGGGCAACCATGAAAGGTAAGCACAACAATGAACATCAGATGAAAGCGAAACAACGCTTTTTCATGCATACTTAAAAGTGATTGGCTAGTGATATAAGGATTTAAAGTCAGCATGACACTGTTTGCAACCCATTTTACTTGTGAAATTCACTGTTGAATTGTGCACAAGACCAGGAAATCGGTGTTACACAAGTAAATTAGGTCAGTTTTAAATTCATGTTAACTTTTAAGAGACATGCTGGCATGTCTGTTAAAAAGGCCTATATATTTTTTTAGAAGTAACTTGAATTTTCTTGATTCAACAGAAAATAGAGACTTAATTCTTAGAGACTTAATTTTATTACTGTTTACATGTCCAGCATGGATTGTTAAACACACTCAGAAGATGTGAAGAAACACAAATGTATAAAATCCTCAGGTTCTACATGAGAAAAAAACACAAATCGGAATGTTATTAACAAGGTAAAAATCTAAAAAAAAAAAAACACTAAAGAAAAATATTGAAAAGGTACTATTTACAATTTTAAAATGACCACATTTAAGATAATATTAAGAAAAAATATTAACTGAAAAGAGGAGAGCCCAGCATTGGAGGTCGTGAAGGATATGGCTTGTTTACAGTGGAGATCCCTGGAGGTTTGCACTGTACAGTTCAGTGTGGACAAAACATGGGCAACCATGAAAGGTAAGCACAACAATGAACATCAGATGAAAGCGAAACAACGCTTTTTCATGCATACTTAAAAGTGATTGGCTAGTGATATAAGGATTTAAAGTCAGCATGACACTGTTTGCAACCCATTTTACTTGTGAAATTCACTGTTGAATTGTGCACAAGACCAGGAAATCGGTGTTACACAAGTAAATTAGGTCAGTTTTAAATTCATGTTAACTTTTAAGAGACATGCTGGCATGTCTGTTAAAAAGGCCTATATATTTTTTAGAAGTAACTTGAATTTTCTTGATTCAACAGAAAATAGAGACTTAATTCTTAGAGACTTAATTTTATTACTGTTTACATGTCCAGCATGGATTGTTAAACACACTCAGAAGATGTGAACAAACACAAATGTATAAAATCCTCAGGTTCTACATGAGAAAAAAACACAAATCGGAATGTTATTAACAAGGTAAAAATCTAAAAAACACAAAAGAAAAATATTGAAAAGGTACTATTTACAATTTTAAAATGACCACATTTAAGATAATATTAAGAAAAAATATTAACTGAAAATACAATTAAACTAAATTTCATTTTACCATCATTAATGAAGATGAGGAGGTGTTTAAGAAAACACTGCAGCACAACTTTGCGCACATTAACAGCATTGCTTTAAATGTTAGTGATTTGCTACAATATTTTGTCTGAAAATGCTTTGTCTAGATTTAAACAGCATGTTTTTTGTAAGGCTCATTAAGATTCCCTTCAGGACAGTGTGCATGCCTAGATGCATTGTTGCACAACAGGCCAATTTGATACTGAATCTGCCCTTGACACAGAACAATGCAGACAAAAGCAAATACTCTGTCTCATTCTACTCAGCTGATTCCACAAAGGTGAAGACAAAATATTGTCTCAACCTTTTTTGGCTACTTATTTAGTAAATCAACAATGATTGCAGTCGAATAACTGCAACTGGTTAATAAATGGTGTGGATGGATGTTCTTAGAGGCACCTCTGATCAGAGCTCAAGTTTATATCAGGAGAATATACAAACACACAGAAGTCACCCTATGCATATGTAGCATCACTGTACGGTCCACTTGGGTGGTCAGACATAAAGTAGAAGTGGTCCTGAGCTGCGTTTATGAGAACGGTGTGACCAAAACTGTCAACGTCCATGATTCACGCCGAAAGCCTTCTGAACAGAGGCTATTAGTATGCAATGCTAGTGTGAAGGCTGGTGGGAGGAAGCTTTCTGGCCCTGGCTGAGGGCCCAGTCTATCTTCATGTTGGCCAGAAGCAATGTGCAGGACAATAATGCCACAAGAGAAAGGGGCCATTGTTAAAAGAGCCAGTCCTAAACTTGGCCAAGAGTTGATTCGAGATGGCGGAGAAAATGTTAGACATATAAATCTACAGAATCACATACTAATGGCGCTTTTCCACTGCATGGAACGGAACGGTATGGCTCGGTACCATTGATCATTCATCAGTCTGGTTTATGGACTGGGCCAGTTCCCAGGGACCTTGGACTGCCAAGGGCCACCAAAGCCTAAGACCATGCCAAAGACTGCCTAAAGGACTGCCTAGGATACTTAACATAGCTCAAGCAGACCACTAGGGCATCAGGGGCCCTGGATGCACACAATGGGACATGACCACTAGGGGCCTGGGCCCTCCCATCGCATACAGTGGGGATATAACCACTTGGGTACTGGCCTGCCCAGCGTATACTGTGGGACATTACCAATAGGGCCCCAGTCTACAGTGGGATATTACCACTATTTAATTGAACCATCCAGCACATACAGTGGGACATGAGCACTAGGGCCCCAGCCCCCTCGGTGCAGACTCTACGGCCATGACCTGCCCAGCCCATACATTGCAAAATGACTGCTAGGGCACCAGGCCCCATAGTGCGTACAGTGGGGCGCAAACACTAGGGCCACGGCCTGCCCAGCACATACACCTGGACATGACCACTACAGTTCTAGGCCTCTCCGGGCACATGCAACGAGACATTATCACTAGGGCCCTGGGCCACTCAGTACATTAGTGGGACATGACCACTAGGGCACCCAGGTGCTTACAGTGGGACCACTGGAGCCCCTAGCCCCTTAACGAATACAGAACAAGCTGACTACTAGGGCCCCAGTCCCCTCACTGCATACTGAATACACTGACCACTATGTCCACTCAGTGGCTAGGGCTACTGTTGTTTGTCACCTAAAATTATCCTAGCAAAACATGTTCCCTAATTTTGTTGCCTAATGCAGGATAAGAGGTCCACCACTAGAGGTGGAACTAGGAGGGATGGGGCTCCAAAGATGCTTGCCCAGGGGCCTCAAGGAACCATGATCTGGCCCTGAATGCCATGCTGAATGATGCCATACTATTGATGTACTGTAGATGATTTTAACTATAAGGTACTTCAAAGAATACCATTGAATTTGGTTTTGTCCAAAAAAAATGGTATTACCATGGTACTACAGTATGTCCAAGATACTATGCAAATACCATGTAAAAGTTGCTGATTATGGAAAAAGGCCATAAAGGTGTGTGAAAATCAGACAAAGAATGGGCTATAGTGGGAACAAGATAAGGCCTGGGTGAGCCCCTGAGAGCGAGTGTTTCAGATATCCTTCAAGCTTGTTTATGTATTCCTCATTGATCTGGGCAACTGGAGGAGAAGGTAGAGGGCATTGGGGGAGGGACGGAAGAGCTTTTAAGTCTGATTAACTTTCCTCCAAATCTCCACGGATGACAGGTACACTGTGAGGAGGGGCAGATCGTCTGGCAACAATATTTGGTGGGATTCATCAGTGATAGCATTCCGATCATGACTGTCCTGTGTCTCCTCTACTCTTCCAATAATATTTATCAAAGTGCTTTCTGCTCTACCTTGTCTGACAGGACAGTATTTGTAATACCACTCACTTTCGTTCTCTCCTCTATGTCTGCCTCTCCCACTGTGAAAGGAGAAACTCTCTCGCTGATTGTGAAGAGTAAATGACTGAGATCGTGTCAGAGGCACTTTAAAAAGTGGTGGCGGTTTGTTTCTTAATGCTTTCCGTGTCCGAGTATACTAGCTGAGTTTATGTAGATTAGACACTAGACTAAGCAAACACCACAGAAAGCAAACACAGACCTACCTGACAGCAGTTATATCTTACAAAATTAGGAATCTTGCCTAATTTGTCTACTTTGCCTAGCTGATAACATTAGCATGAATAAGTCGTGAATGAAACACGGATCCTGTTTCCACTGCTTGTCAAGAAATGCACTCCAAAAATAACTGGCAGTGGACCCTGGCAATGTGGGCCATGGGACTGTGTGCCAGCAAGCTCTTATATAGGGATGATATTGCTACACACACTATCTACCAAGCATCTCAAGCTTGGGCCAAAAATATACTCTACGCAAGTATGCTAACGCAGATGTGAATGCTAGGCCAATGCACTGCAAGTGGACTGTCTCATCAGACATACTTAATGTGCGTTCATATTCAAACCTCAGTACTCAAGGTAAGGTGGATTTACCTAAAAACGTCAAGTATCAGTGAAAGTTTTATTCAGGTATCTCGCTAGAAACATGTCGACAGTTTAACTAACCTAAACTTGCTCAGCAAGATTCTCTATTGCTGCCTAACAGTAACAGACTTGAAAAAAAAAATCTATCCCCAGAAGAAATTCATTCCTGGAAATGAATTCACTTTTACGTTTATGCTAATATATGCTATAGCACTCCTTCTGGCAATGCTGAGAATATAACATAAAATTGAGGTAACTAAATAAACACGTCCACATACTTGCGTATGAGTATGTTTCAGCCCAAGAGGGAGCTTGCTTGGGTTTATCCCACTCCTGCTCGTTTATTACACCCCCACCTATAAATTATCCCCATCACTGTAATACAGTCCAGTTCATACTCTTACTAACACACCATAAGACCTTTCACAAAGACATAAGATATAAGGTTTCTGCATCTAAACCCTTTTCGTTTGAACTCACAGTTGTCCCTGATTCTTTCACTCTTTTCTCAGCCCACTTCGGTCAATGCAAGTAGTATTTCTTAGGTAGGGAGAGCTTTGGGTTGGGGTAGAAAGAGGTTAGCAATGGCTTTCACCCCCTGCTGTTTTTAAAATTAGACTATTACCTAACATTCCCTACAACAGTGGGCCCCTACTAAGGCTTTTATTTATAATTGGGCCTGAGAAGCTTTCTCAAGTGTATTTTACTGAGTTTTAAATTGGTATACACTAGTGGTATTCATTTTATAGCTCTTTTGTTCAATCAAATGAAAATATGAAAATGCTATTATATAAATATGCACGCAACAAATGGCTTCAGCACCAGCAAATTTTTTAAAACCCCTTAAATGAAAGCAACCTAAGTGTTACGTTCCTCAGACAATAAAATGTATAACTGCCACAGTATCACGGGACTTTTGGGAGATAAAAACACAGCTTGCAAGAAAGAAATCAGTAGGCTCTACAAATATGGACGGAACCACATAAAACATGTTTGGCTGGCATGACCAAGGCACAGTTGTTAAAACGGGGCAATAAAATCTGACTTTTTGTTATGATCGCACTAGGTAAGCAAATTTTAGAAAAAAAAGTCCCTATTTTATGACATCAAAACAAATAGCAGGTAAAATTCAGTCAAATGACTTTCCATGTGGTCTCAGACGTTTGTACCCCACTGTATATCAACAAGTTATGATGCAAGTGGCCACAGTCCTTACAGTCTTTATGATGATATATTATGACTTGCCCGGTCAGTTGGAAAACCACAGCCGAGAGTCCTGAGAAAAAGGTGAACAGATGCAGAAATATTCCTAAGAGATATTCCTTTCTCCGCTTTCCTTCTCCTCTCTTCTTGCTCTGCAAGACTTCCCGTTCATCATTTATGCTGTGATTGCAGATGACTAATTGTGACATCCTAAAAACAGAAATGAAGAAAAACCCACAAACAACTGATTCGATAGAAAATAAAATTATGAAAAGAAAAACCGAACAACAAAATCAATGTGCAAACTTTCTGATATAAATAGACTAGTCAACATGTTAGGAGAGCACCATGGGAAAGAAAAAAAAAGGGTGAACATTAATGTGTGTGTCAGTATCTGTATGTGTGTTTGTAAGCATGTTTATGGTGGTGTTTTTGGACGTGTGAAATGAAAGGGAAGAACAGGGATTGAGGGTCATTCTAAGAGGTTAAACCCAGTCCTGCAGTGAACGTCTGCAGTGAACTAAATAATTGGGTGCTCCTTTCCTCTGTAATGTGTTAATGATAGCGTAGATCAATCCCAAGATGCACAGCACCAGGACCAGGGGTACCGTCACCATGATGATGTTCATGGTACGCTCGGTCTCATCTATCTTCAGAACCACATCCACCTCATTTGTTTTCTCTTCCGTCTCCTCTTTAGAGTCAACATCATTAGTTTTGTCTCTCTCTTTGTCCTTTTCCTTGTCTTTGTCTTTGTCTCGGCCAGCATCCGGATTGAAGGGTGGCCTGTCAGGCCACTTGCGTCCCGGATCCACATCGGTGTCTCTGTCAGGATTGAGGTCCACGTTACAGCCCATGAAGTCTCTAAGAATGGACTTTGGGTAGCCTGGCTCGCTCTTCATTCTGTGGTTGTCAAACTTCCAGTACTTTGTACCTTTGTAAAAGTATGTATAAGCTGTGTGAGAGACAAACAAGATTGGAGATTAAAAAAAAGTGTTAAAGTGCATCACTGACTAAAGCTTATCTACCAGATAATAAGACTATCTGGCCAAAATATATTTTAAATATAGGCTAAATATATGTTGTAAACAGTGAAGCTGAATAAAATCTGTTTTTGAAATTGAAAATATATTTGGATTTAACCTTCACATACCAAAATACATTTCAAAATGTATTTCAGGGGCCAGAAAAAAAACAAAAACATTTCCAATCATTCAGTAGCCCATATTTCGGCCTAATGCAAATGAGGATAGAAAATACTACAGATTAAACTAGATTTATAATGATTTTATAATGTTACATTTTTATATATATATATTGAAATGTTGCACTTTTTTGGAACATTGTAAAGTATGTTCCTTGCTGATTTTTATTTAAATGTGTTATATGTTCACACGTTATATAGACAATTAAGTTGTTCTTCAAATGTGACAAGAATGTATTTTCTTGGATTTAAATATATGGAGGAAAAATATATTTGTAAATGGTTTAATATATA